CTCAGCCAACGAAATTCGGCAGCGAATTTAGAATTTTTCCTAAATTCACTGGGGCGCTCTTTCTGACCCCCTCGCTTGAACCCAAGTGGTCACACTGTTTTTGCGTTTTCGAGATTTGTTTGTCGATTTTTCACAATTTTTTTGCGCTTTTTTGAGAGGAAAGTGGAATTTCTACTTTAAAATTCGGTGCTGACAAATTCCGATATTTTGAAAACCGGAATATTCCTAATTTCTGAAATTTTCAGAGCCAGAATGTTCCGAAATTCGGAATTTTCGACATTCCGAAAAATATCGCTCATTCCAAACATCAGTAACTCTACTACTTTCATCTCAGTGATTTTCTCAAAATCCAGATGAAGCTCAAATTTGAAATTTTAAATCCAAAACTACCAAGTTGAGAGTTAGTGTTGAGGACAACCACCATTCCACAGATTTAGAGAAAAAGGAGTGGGGTGTCGTTTGAAGTGTAGGCTTTTCTCCTCAGTGTTTGCGCCCCTCCGCACCCAGTTAGAGACGGTAGAAAAAGGGAAAACCCGAGGAGCTACTTGAAAATGTCTTGTGTTGGGAGGATGAAAGAAAAGCAAAACTTATGAGATATCAGCTATACTCTCAGTCAGCACATCACTTTATATATGACAGTAGTATGTGTTGCTCTATTGACTATGACTCAATTTTCTTGTTTTTTGATTTTCGATGAACTGTAAAATATTTATTTGAATCGTTTTTATTTCGGTTTGTGAGCTAGAAATTATCTTCTTACAATTAATATCATCCTGAAAAAGAACTGTTATCTTCTAAGTGCGAGTGGAATCTAAATTAGGAAGACTGTCGATCTAGATTTAAGAGTGTACAATCTGTGCGATTGATCTCGCCAGTATTAAGTTTCTTCTCTAATTCGAAAAACAATTGTTTTCAAGATTATTTAGCTCAATATCTCACTATTTTTCATCAAATCCAGTTCGAAGATAAGCTCCAGCCACTTTTAAAACTTTTTATCATCTTATCATCTATTTAAAAAAGATCAATAGACGAGTAAACGGACTGGTGCTAAGAGTGCCCAACAAACAAACAGTCATACCCTGTATCAGATTTTTTCTGTAATGCTATTTTTGATTTAGCAAAGGATCTTCTCAGTCTCTTCAGATTTTTCTAGTTTTGAGGACCACTTGCAGTGTTTTTTAAGTGATAAGACCTGTCAACGGCGATAATTTAACAATACCCTTCTCATCTCGTTACTTCTCGAGATATGCGCGCGCCTATATTTCCCGCACCATTTCAGGTCGTTTTCTGTGTCTTATCCTTCTGCGTTTCTTCCTCTCTCCGATCTCTATTTCATCTCTTCTCGACGACCTTTTTCCCAACCTGTTCTACATCGTTCCACTAAGTGGTACAATTTTGGGGTGATCATATTTTTTTTTGAAGAGAATGGTACTTTATTTTAATGTTTCCCGGCTGCCTTTATTAACCTTTTGCCTGGGGAAAATGTGTTTCTGGAAATGCGTATTTCAGTATTTTAAACCATCTTTTTTTGGGGTCTGTGGTGGGTTTTTAACGCGCCAAAGTTGACAGAAGAGCTTGTTTTGGGAGATAAACACACAGTTTAGGAAGAGGAATCGGAAAAAGAAAGACCATGAATCAGATACTGGGAGTTCTTTGCTTGCGATTTTTTCCAAAAACGACAGCCGAATTTTTCCAAAAACGATGAGCTTGTTTTTCTAGAAACGAAAACATTGTTTCTAGTTATTGATTTCATCAGGACTTTAATTTCTACAAGTCTCACTTTATCATGAAGCATTTTCGAAACGGAATCCCGAAAATTCCGACCAGTTCTTCAGAAATTAGAGCTTTTAGAACTACAGTATGTTAAAGGCGCAGGCGAAAAGTTTTCTCGCGGGTCTCGAGCGGAATTAATTTTAATGTTTTTCGCGAAATCTGTCCGTCAATTTTTCGGATTTTTAATTTCAAAATTTGCCTGTTAAAAAAAGAAGATTCCGTACATAACCCCATCATCGTTCAAATCCGCGTTCTTGTGTATTCCCTAACAATCGGTTTTTCATCTCAATACAGTATTGTCGTCATTCCGAATATAGCCTTCATTGCGAATGTGTTCATTTTGGAACGTTTCAATCTGACAGTAATTTTCGATGCGGTTCTTCAGTTTTGATCGCTCCAATTCGGAATCTTTCAACCTTCGTCCTCGATGCCTTTCTCCTCGGTTACATAATAATTATCGTTCGCAATAGGGGCGCCACCACAGCTAAATACCGCCACAAAACTACAGGGCAGTACTGTATATCTCTCCATCTTGTTTGTGTGGTACACACATCCGTAGACAATTCGTTTATTCATCAGAATCTGAGGACAGAAGAAGAGGGCCATGATGATGACAAGCGTGTCAAGGTGAACTCTCCTAGTAGTCTTTGCGTCCGTGTTTGCCTCGTTTTCGCGCGCGCACCTCTTCTTCTCTGGCGCACCTGCTTGTCCTTTTCATCGAAGATCTATCCCCGTTCTTACTATAGAGCCATATTTCATTTATCGTAGTAACTCAGTTTCACATCTTGGTAAATCGAATAGATTTCATAGTTTTCACAAACAATTTAGGACCTATCGTCTGAGTATTTTTGGAAATGCCAAGTGTACTGTAGTTATAGACTTGTTGAGCTGAAAGATCAAGCTCTAAATTCTCAAAAAAAAGGCCGGACAAGATCTCTGATCCGGAGAGAACTGCATTTGGATCTAACTTCCGGTTGTAAACACCATGAGATGCCAATCGAATGTTGATCGTAGCAAAATCCAAAGGGGAGGATTTACTTTTGTTTTCTTTTTGAACATCTGCTTCTGCCCGCGTTTTTCATCCCTCTTTCGTTTTTCCCAGCCAAGTGGGAACAAGTTTTTGTTCGAAACTTCTTCCTCGTCGCCTCCTTTTTCCTCACTTCCCTCGTGGTCGTTTCCCTCATTTTCTCCATAATTCTGTGTCATGGTCCTGTACGTATGGGCTTCTTTTCACGACTACCGTAAAGAACCATATCCTCTGGGAACGATAGATCCGAATACACATTTTCTCTCTCTCTCTCTCTCTCTCTCTCTCTCTCTCTCTCCTCTGCCCACGCCTGCAGCACAAATTTTATTGGTCGTTATTTCGCGCCGAAGAGTTGAAGGTAGATGGGTACCTCACAAATTCGCATTTTTTGATGCACAGCGAATAAGCAAACCTAAGTGATGACAGAAAAATTGACCCCCAGATTGCTCAGACGTTTTCTGATTGCTATTGAATCTACAGATCTACAGTATCATCTTTTGTTGTTTTCATTGCCGCCGACCAAAGAAAGGTCCCACAACGTCAACTACCGTAACCAAGAAATATTTAAATTTTCCGGATTTTTATCTCGATTTTTGGAAAAAAAAAGTTACAGAAAATTGAAAAAAAAATCAGTAGAAACGAGAAAATAAACCCTGAAAAGAATATTTCCAGGTTATTGTATTTGTTGTTGTGGGACCTTCGACGGCCACCAGCGTTGCTTTTCTAGATCAGAATTTAATTTTTCAAAAATATCACATTCAAGCTAGATTGAACATTACCCTTTTGCACAACTGCCGATTTTTCAAATTCCGTTGCTTCGGTGCAATTGCGCTGCGAAAACGCATAAAATATCTCCTTTGTTCTTCATTTCACCACCTATCTAATGCCCTTTCCTTCTACTTACTACTGTTTTTCTCATTTACTAGTTAGTTCTAAAATTTCTCCGAAAAAATAGCCGATCAGTATTTTGTATGCTTCGACTTCATAATTCCAGGAATTAAATTCCCATTTTCCACAATGTGTAGAACCCTCTGAAACTCTTGTATCGCCTCATGAAAACATCTTTACAGAAAAAAAAAACACTTGTATCATTGCAGATAATAATAGTGTGCGTCAGACGGCACACGACGCCAGACTTGTCAAACAACGAAGAAGAAAAAAAAGAAGAGGAAACGGACACAGAAGGACAGCATAGGAGGGTGTCAGCTCGATGGAAGAGCACCACCGACGACTCCATGTCAAGGCGGAGCGTGCGTCGGTGATAGGAGGAGACATTGTCGACGGAGCATTCGGCAGTTGGGCTCTCCGAGCTGCTCGCAGTGAGCACCAATTGAAGCAACAGAGCAACGAAGATCTCGCTCAGGTTGGTTTGGTCCAGGGCTAGGCGAGCAATCGGCTTTCATGGGAAACGAAATGCAAAACACGCATTTCACGGAAACACGCATTTCTCGTATTGCACAGTAAGCGCGGAAAATTTGCAAAACGTGAAGGTTTTTTCCCGTCTTCGCCCACCCCTGGTTTGGTCTCGTTGATTACTGTTAAGAGTATTGTTTTGGAAGGTCCCACAACGAAAACTACAGTAACCTGAAATTTTTTCAGTATTTATTTTCTCGGTTTTTACTGATTTTCGTCAATTCTTCCATTGTTCTCAAAGAAGTCGGATAATAAAAAATTCTGATAGTGAAAAAAACTGACTGCAAACCTTTAAAAAAACTCACTATGAGAAAATAACAACATTTTTAGGTTACGGTAGTTGTCATTGTAGGACCTTCAGCCACGGCAATCGGTGTTTCTCGTCCACATCTCCGATTTCTTTTGTATTAACAGAGTATATTATTACATTCTATCTCAGTGACTCGATTTTTCCAAAAAACGGAAATCTGTCATAAATCTTTCGAATCCTGCCGCCTAGGTTTTCTATTAGTCTTTTTAGTCTATTTACTATTAGGTAGAAGCCGCTGTGGGTGAGGAAATAGGAAAAAAGGATTGATTGGCTTTTATTGCCTTTTAGTCTCTTTCAAGAATTCTCGGTTCTGTTCGAATCTCTCTTCGTTTTCTTTTCCATCAAATTGGCTTCTCTCTATTCCTATTTCCTCCGGCTCTCCTTTTTTACCCATTTCTTCTTTCATTCAATTTTATGGGCTGTACAAATGACGATTCAAAATTCGAGCAATAGGGATAAAGAGTTGGGGTACGGTAGTGTAATGAATCTCGTTTAGACACGCCCACCTCAGCTCTCCTATAGAGTCTTCATCATGAAGAATTCATTGTTTTCCACAAACTTTATTCGGTCTAACTGAGCCAGTAACGTCTTCAGAATGCTAGAATCTCTGCTTTGCTGGGAGAGATGCGGCCTCGGATGTCGGCAACACCACCCAACGGACATCAGCAACATCATCCAGTTCAGCAGAGAAGAAAGGCTAATACCACAAACATTGTGGACGTATCTTCACAAATTCCAACAGGTAAGATTCCGGTGAATATAGAAACCCAGCGAACCCTTCCCAGTATTTTCAGCTCGAAACGCAATCTACGGCTCTTGGCAAGATCGTCACAGGCCGTCTCGTCTCTATGGAAGTCAGCTGGTATCATCGTCGTCTACACTGCCAAAATATGATCAATTGTACTGCAACACAAATGCTATCAACGGCAATGGATCGACTAATACAATTGCTACAACTGGAATCAGAAGAGAACCACCAGAATACGGGTATGTTGATTGTAGTCGTCGAAGTCTTGTGATTCCCTTTCCACCGCTACAAATGGTCTGAATCCACATTCAGTCAGAATAACGATAGTATTTTTTATTCTCAAAGGGGTTTCGTTAGTTATTCTTCTTCATCTATGTTCTTTGATTTCAGCAAGGCTGGTCGATCGGTATCCACGTGGCAGATTACAAACTCCGAACATCGTCCAACACTACAAGCAGGATGGCTAAAAAGCTCTCGTCCATTAGCTCGTGGAGCTCTCTCGCCCGCCGCCTATTTCCGAGATTTGGAGAATCGGCACGGCAGCGGAGCGAGCTCCCCTATTGTCGGAGGCTTATCCGTTGTTGCAGTACCAATTACCCAACGGATAGTTTCCACCACCGGAGGAGTTCCTGTGAATGATGCGGTAATTGTTATATAATGTGAAGAAACGATTACGATCCATTTATAGGTAAATGCTCCAGTTTCGACCGATGTGGAAAATCAACAGCAGGGTGAATTGGCAGGACAGGGAACGAGTACCTTGTCACGTAACACTCCAAGACAAGCTAGTTTCATGGCTGCAATGCAAAGGCATCCTTTGAAAGAAAGTGAGTATTTAGGCGAATATACATATATAAACTAAAAATCTTCAATTTGTAACTCTAGGCAACTCAATCGAAAGTTCTGATAAGGAAAATCCGGAACTTGAACCGAAGGCTTCTCCATTTGAAAAAGAGGATTCAGAAGACTCACTAAATCCCGGAATCGGTGAGACTCCGATCAGAAGAACCCGCAAAGGAAATGCATCGATGAGGTGCCGTCAATCGAGGTAAGGGCTTCAGTGTCGAATCGGTTCCCACCGCTTTGTGAAGAATGAGTCGTAAAGGGAATAAATTTCAGTCGAAGTTTGGGTGGGCTCGATTTCGAAAAGCTGCGGATGGGAACTACTCGAATTGAAGACAACAATACTGCTTCAAACGGCGACTCTGTGGAAATGAGTAGGTTCTTTTTTCTGTCAACGTTTCGTCCTTGTCGTTGCATTTCATTTTTTGTGTTTCCGTTTTCTGTGCCGATTCGGTTCGATTGAAATGACCGCCGAGGAGAGTGATCGGTAGCCATTGAACATGCCCGGCTGTTTGCATTTCAATTTTCGCGCCTCTCTCTTTCTCGTTTGTTTCTTTATTCTTCTTCGCCTTTCCATCTTATGTGTGTGGTCATTTAACTCACCATACGGACACGAAAAGAGTTCTCTACAGATTTTTCTAAAACCCGAAAAAGGTCCTACTCGAATTTGTGACATTTAATTGTTTGAAAATGCTTGGTTTTGCCTTGTAGAATTTTCCCTTTTCTTGAATTGGATTCTACTTCGTTATTTTTCAAAATCGTTTCCGAATTTCTCCTAGAATACAATCACAAGAAGGTTGCATTTCCTCCTGAAGGAGGTCTCACCACGAACATAAACATATAACAAAAACGAACACTCTGCCTTTGTCTCAACGCCTTTGTATTTTGAAAACTTATGCCTTCTCCATCACACCAACCATCTCGATGTCGTCGCCGCCAAATGGGATGGCGTTACATGACTGTTTTATGATTCATTTCTCTCTCCAGTATTTTCACTTTCATGGGTTTGAGGAGCTATTGTATGCATGAACAAAAAGACAACAACTTTAATGTCAACCCTTCCAACTTTTGTTGTTGTTCTTTTCAAGTTTTCTCGGCAGGAGGACCCCGCAGTGTCTAGATTACGTTTTGCGATCGGAAGTTCATTGCTCCAGATTCTTTTAAAGAGGTGATGAGCCAATCATCCAAATTGCAAATAGTTCACACTTTCGTCTCGATACGATATACGCTCTTTCGGGGGGTTCGTGGGGGCGAATAGGCGAAATAAGCTCAATGACAAATACCTTTTCGATTTATGGTTAAAATAGGGAATATTACTTTGGAAACGGATTTTGAACGATGAGTTTTAAGAAATTTAGTATTCAGATTCAGACTTGTTCAAATCGGGAAATCGGGAATCCCGTTTTCCCGGTTTTCGCGAAAATTTTCGGGAATTTTTCCCGACAGGAATTTTCCCGAAATTTTTTTCCGGGAATTTTTCCCGACGGGAATTTTCTTGAAATTGTTTTTCGGGAATTTCCGGGAAAAACGGGAAAGTTTCCAATTCTTGTTTTTTCTAGATTTCTCATAATTTCAACTATTTTTTGCTTTTTGAATAGTTTTTCAAGCAAATTCATTGGACTTAAGAAACGTAAAGAAATCGACAAATCTCGTCATAAATTGAGAAAAACAAGCAAAAATTCACTGGAAAACCAACTTCCCGATTTTCCCGAAAATTCCCGAACAATAATTTCGGGAAAAAAATTCGGGAACAAAATTTCCCATATATATTTTTCGAGAACCCGATTTCCCGAAAAAAAATTTCGGGAAAATTTTCAGGAACAGGAATTCCTGAAAAAAATTCTCGAACAAGTATGTTTAGATTGGAACCATGATTAAAAAAATTACTAGGCGACTTATTAAAGGAGTTGTTAGACAAACTGCTGTAATTTTTAAAATACGAATTGTTTTTTTTCGACCACCTCAAACATCGACCACCCTCTATCTCTGATGGACAGTTACGACTCTTGCCACGTTCCCACATCTTTGTTTCTCTGTCACTCTGATCACAGTATATTTCACATTCGAAACGTTCTTTTCAATAGAAACAAACGGCACATTTGATTTCTTCTTTCCTTTCCTTTTCTTCTCTGTTTCCTGTAACAAACAAAAACAGTTTTGGAGGCGGTGTCTCTGTGTGTTGTTCGAAAAAGAAAGGGCCGAAAAAACGAAAAGAAGGCAAAAAATGCAGCAGAAGTAGACTCACACAGCAGGTGGTGTGCTCCCTCTTCTGTATCTGTTTGTTCTTATCAGCAGTACCTTCACTGGCTCTATGTGTGTGCCGCATACTGTGCCAGTCCTACCTTCTGTTTTTTCATTATTATCGATGTAAAATTTATCGAACCAATTTGAAATGATGACTGCTGATTATTATCCTCTACTTTTTCACTATTGCCATGAAAGTTTCCTAAATCGTCGAAGACGGACACAAATCGTTGGAAAAGGTTGGTGCGAATTAGTTTTTGAAGATTTTTCCCAGACACTCAAAAGAATATTGCTCAGTCAAAGCGAATCCCTAGGTTCTACGATTAATAGCGGTTTTATGCTTCCACTTGGAGCTACGAAGATGCATTTGCCAGGTGGTAGGAGAGAAGCATGATATTATTGCAATATTCCTCTGTATAGTCGATACTTCTATGCTTCCACAATGTTTAGCATTTGAGGCTTTCTTGCCAACATTAGCTGAAAATATTTAGAAATTGTTCTGAACCGTTTGAATGGAATTTCGAAAACATATACATCTATCTAATTTTGTTTTCCTGATACTAATAATGAAAAACAATTAGTAACTGAAGACTTCCTGGCTCTAACATCACTGATGACCATATGCTGAGTACATTTGTGTGTTTTCTCGCCTTCTCCACGGGGAGTAATCTTTATCCATTCGTCTCTTATCCACTAACATCATCATAGAAAACGAGGTGATTAGAGGAGAGCTAGAGCGGAGAAGACCCACTTACATTTTTTTGTCAACTCTGATAACCACATAACAATCAGAGGGATCTCTTCTTTTTCATTCAATTTATCGAATCGTTGATCCAAAATCGTTCGAATCTTAACGATAAAAAAATGTTCGAGGGAGGAAAGGAGAGAGATTAAGATAGAAAAGAGTACTTGAAAATGAGCAAAGTTTGCTCTGACTCGCTTTCATCTCTTTTTCCTTCATTTTCCATTTACTATTTTCGTTTTTGTCACATTGATAAGGCTCATAAGACAGAATACACCAAAATCAGATGAAGCAGTTTGTGCGAACGAGCCCCTGCTCGAAAGGTTCGATTTTTTATTATTCAAAATTGAAAGTGCAGCTTCAGACTACAAGACTATTTTTGGTTTTCACTTTCAAAGAAAAATATCATGTTAATGATAATGTTCAAAAGATAGAGAGAATAAGCTCGACACCCGACGACAGTTGTCTTTTTTGATGAGCAATGAGAATTGAGGGAAAACGCTTGCTCTCAACAGAAGACTTGACTTTTGTCTCCAACAACAAAGTTGCCACTGGAGAGATCGAAAACACCCAACTATTTCGTTTTTTTTTCATTTATCAGCAGGTTTTTTTGCTCTGGTACATGAAAGATTCCTTGATCTGCCTTCTGTCTACTCATCATAAACCAATCCATTTCGAAATCCTGGCACTTGGAAGTCAGCACAATTCAATTCGGCTCACTCCCAAGAGAGACTCTGAAGGCATCCATTCTTTTTCGAATCGAGATCGCAATCTTTCTGACAATAGATCCCCGTGTAGCACGAATTCCGGCATTTTATCGCTCCAAAAGTAGCTCAGCATGACGTCAGTTTACTTGAAGCATGGTTTTTTTTAAATATGAATATTTGTTGTTGTAAACGAACTGATAGGTCTTGTTTGTTGGTCAACTATGAAGTAAGGAGTCATATTTCGTTGCACCATCTGTTCATTTCTCAATAACTAATTGAGTTTGAAGACGACTTCCATTGATTGTCAGTTTTATGGCCCTGGAGAAATCTTCTTCTTTCACCCAACACCAGTTCAATGATAATTTTTTTCATTGATTTTTTTTCCATTACAAAAATAATACTACGAATCATCACCCAAATCATCTATTAAAATTCCAATTCACCTATGAATAATTCATTCTACTCTCGCACGTATCCTACACACCTAACTCATGGAAAAGATATAATCCCCTAGGTTTTTGCGCCCCAAAACTTGCCGTTGCCATCTGTTACACAGTTAGTTGTTGATGGTGTTTCGCTCCGATATTCTGATTCAAATAGTCTGTAACTCACTGAAAATTGCATATTCCCTCGAAAATTTGAAACTACTAAATTCTCGGAATGGATGCGATCCGACGGTTCAGTAGTATTGTTTCACTTCTCATGAAATCAGGTCATTAAGATATTCGGTTTTTTAAGTTCTCAAAACAACAATTATTTTTATCCACTTCTTCTAAGTTCTCACCCAATTCTATTCAGGCTCCTCCACTTCATCATCACGTAAAAACTCCCGTGACGACGGTCTGACCTCTTCTCCTTCTCCAACAGCCGCCCCAGCAGCTCCGGTTTTCTCAACGTCTTCCACTTCTTCGGTTTCGACTTCCGGTGAAGCAGCATCCACAACAACAGCCGCACCGGCAGCCGTAGCGACCACGTCGAGGCAGACGTCGTCGAATTCGTCAGTCGACTCGAATCATAATGGTGGGTCGAAGAAATATAAGAGGATACTTGAGTACTCACTTAAAAGCCAAAGGAAACATATACATAGGGCATACTTTGGGTAGTCTGAAGACTTGCACAACTCTAGAAAGCGACCCTAAAGAACGACTACAATCAGATTCGTTAATCAATTTTGTTTTACAGTAGCTGATTTTATTTGATGAGAACGTTCTAATCATTTTGATAATCCCTCACTGAGTAGTCCTGAGCCTGCAGAATTAAGAAATCCGACGTCGTTCCTTTCCAAAATACTCTAAAATTGAAACTTCGACTCTTCTCATTTCATATTCTACAACAATTCTCCGCTCCCAGTCCTCTTGACTTCACAAACATAGAAAAGAGGTTCATATCTAAACCAAATTGACGTGTGAGTAAATGGAGGAGGTCCCCTGGAATAAACAATGTTCTCTCGCTACTTTTGTCCTTATTCTGCTTATTCCTCTTCTCCATTCCACTCCTCTCTTTGGGATCATCTTCGTCTCAACCACAAGAGAGAAGCCTTCTTCTTCTTTCTAAAACATGAACCGGTTCACTTGTGTGGAAATGAAAGAAAACGATAGAAAGGAGTAGAACAACTTATTCCATAATAGATGTGCGAAAAGGACAAATTGACCGACTTACTCTTTTGGCCTCTTTCTCTCTCATTCAATATCCAAACTAAAAGGAACTACTAATTGTTGTAGTAAGCATTCGCATAGATTTATGTCTCCAGATAACTTACGCTTCTTCTTCTTCCATCGTCCCCGCCCGTTCATTCCGCTGTTCGTTTAGACATAACGCATAAAATAAGTATTGTATAAGTATCTAGTACTGATCGTTAACCGGCACCGGTTGTCTTACTTCCCGTTAGCCGTCACTGCTTTAGATTTTCAGAAAAGATCCCCTACAAACTGAAAAAAAGCGAATCGCTGTCATTTCTGATTCCAGAAATACGCCTTTCAATTCACTTCCGTTCACCGCCTCTTCCATCCGTTTCCTTTTTGCTGCTCTATTTTTGAGGAACGATGCTAATTTTACTCATCCGCAAGTCCTCCCACTCAAAGGATCACCCTTCTAGCTTGTTTGCTCTTTTTGCTAATGATGATTGAAAAATATGAGGGGGTAGACGATGATGATGATGAGGACTCGTGGGGTAGGCATGAAAGTGGATTCGGTGTGTCTCTCTTGTGGTCATCGACCCATTCCTATTCGATGTCGTCGTTTATGACACTTCTTCTCATCTTTTTTTGGTGTCAAGTCAGTCTCTCTTCTAGTCATAATACACACTTTGCAAAGCATCTATCCAACGGTATCATAAGGAGAGAAAGAAGATCGTTGATCGAATTGTTATCAATAATTTTAACAGTCGCCGTCGGAGTTTTTCTCCGTCGCTGCAAATCATTTTGACACCTTCTTCGGCACTAGCTGAATAGACAAAGGTTGTCCTATTTCGAACAGAAAAAAGTGCTTCAGCGCGACGGCTTCCCGCAAAGAAATTCAACACAGTGTCCTCGGGTAAAACACCGAAAAGAAGGTGATTAGTCACATACAGAGAGGCAAAGGTTAATTGCTACGGAGAGGTAGAAGAAGACCATGGTCTCTCTTGTTTCTCTTCCGACGACGACGACGATCATGATTCTCGAGAAACACTTGTCGAGAGGAAGTAGAATAAGATGCGCCAACAAGAGGAGGAGGACATTCCGTTTCGTTTTATAGAAATTTGTGTGTTCGTTTGTTTTTTTCTCAGCCATTCAATAGTTCTTCTCGATTCGTTGAAATCGGCGACGTCTCCTGGTAACGCGTGTAGTCGTCTTATGGAGCTCGTCTCCATGATAGAGACTCTATCCATCGATCACAAAGTATACGAATTTTCGAGATGCTTCTTAACTTTTGAAAGGAAACTTAAGATTTGTATCATTTTAACATAGGTATGTAACATCATCATAAATAGATGATGCTCCTCTCATTGTCTTCTTTGTCTCGTTTTTCTGTTTTCCAGAAAAGTTGTAAGGTTGTGTAAACAAGACGTAATGTGCGTCAGAGAGACGTCTCCCCTCGTAACATCACTGGAATCATTTTGGACCCTGTTGTTCGGGATTCCCTGTCTCTGATTTTATCTTCTCACGTCATCTACTTACCTCCAATGCGTGACTTTTGACGCCTTCATTGAAGGGGAGTGGCCCCGTGGAGCCGACGCCAATTTCTCATCACGACACGAAAGAGATGTCACTTGTCTTTTACATGAGAAGCAACACCAGTAGAAAGACACAGAAACAGAACTATCACTCATTTTGACAAGTTGGGCTCCTCTTTTTTTCTGACCGCGCTCACCGCCCTCTCTTTTTGCCTAGTTTCGTTTTTTTTAGATGTTCTTCTGTGCAACAATTCAAAAAAAATCCTGATTTCCATGGCATGGAATGGCCCATAATGTAATTTCCATTTTTGTTCTCTACCATTCTTACGGACCCTTTTCTTTCCATGAAAGATTATTCTGAAGCTTGTAAAAGGTGGACACAAGAGGCACATAAACACCCCCATAATAGGTCTCCCACTTTTCCTGTCGGTGTCACGCCACTCACCCTGTTGGACCCATTTTGTGTCAGCTTCTCAGGTGCTTTCAATGCTCTCTCTGTCCTCCTCCCATCCATTCCCAGTCCACCTCCACCCTTTACCTCTTCGCCTATTCATGACACCTTTTCATCCATGAATGAGCTTTTGACTAAACTGCTCTCGAGAATGGGAGGACAAGAATGTTTCTTTTTCCTTGAGGACATCTTCTTTAGTGCAACTTGGATTTCAACTATGTTTTCAGCTAAATGAAATCTGAAACTCCCTTCCTGAACTTTGAATCTTTTTTCTGACTCTAAAAAAATGAGTTGAATATTCCATTCGTTTTGAGATCGAATCTCTTCCATTTTGCATGTTTTCAATATCAAGTTTCTTCCTGCTTGCCTGTCTTCCTACTCCCACATAAAATGACTCTTTTTGCATGGGACGCTCTATTTGTATTAAGATGGCTCTTGTTTCAGAAAACATAAAGAGAAATTACATACTCCACGACCATCTATGGTATTCTCAAAAAATATATTCATATTCGTGAAGTTTTTATGCACCAATAGAAGCCAGTTCTAGCTGTTCTCGCATAATTATTGCTATTGGAGACTTCTTCTTTTTCTCTATAAATTGTTTTTCCATACGACCCAGATTTGAGGGCATAATTTGCGGAAGAGCAGGTGTTTCATCTTCGTGTCACTCATGCACACACATACAGACACACAAGCAGACCTAACCTCGTTTTTAAAGGAAAAAAAGGTATTCTCCTTCTTTTCTCCCTAAAGGTTATATATGCAGTCCTGTCTCTGTGTATTTACCGTCATCTCCTCTCTCTCTAACCTGCCTTTTGATGTCTGATTTTCGTCTCCCTGTATACTATCTACAAAATTGCCAACCAACCATATCTAGGTGTTGGAGCTCCAAGCATGAACTTGATTGCCTTTTTTCACTATTTGAAAATGACAGATTTTGAGCATATCCCTCTGTGACACCATATCTATCAACCAGGACTCATCTTTCTAAGACACGAGTCACTTCTCCAGAAAAGGAGAAGAAATCCTTAGCCTTAGTTAATAGAATGAATTTGCATAAATTAACATTTCTCCTCTCATCAGATTGCCTAGACACTATTTCATGAATATTCTTGATATTCTTGTAAGCTTTGTGTTCTGTTCTTGATCATAGTTTTGAAATTATGCTGATAAATCCAGCGAGACTGATATTCCTATGCAATCGAACTGTCATTCCATCTTTTTAATGTTACTATCTATTCTAATCAAACACGCATGAACATATTATCCATGCTAATACAATCAAAACTTCTAATCAAACACGGTTTTCAGAAGCAATGAAGATGATACGCCGCGCCAGACCCAAATCATACGTACTGGCTACATCGGCATCTATGAATGACGACGTGATTCAATCGTCAATGATTGCCAATGAACGTGAGTTTTCTATTGATATCCACCCCCTTTGTCAACAAGATAACTTTCAGAATCGTCTTCGATTTCACATGATACCACCACATCGGGTCGTGAGTTACCGTCTTCACTGATGGGATCCATGACTTCAATGGAGTTGAGAAGTGGAAGAGCGACGACGTCTTCAGCAACTACCACAACTTCGAACTCTGGACAGAACACTTCTCGAAGTTTGAATGCACCACATCCACCGGCGACTCATCGTCTCCAAAGATTCATTGCACTTTTCAATTCTAGTGTAAGTGCAAAAAATATATTTAGATTTACAGTTGAATACAAAAAGTTGCAATTTTCAGAAAGCATCAGATGGATCTGGTGAGCCAAAAAAGTCACGGATGAAGAGATCTCGAACATCATTACCCGCCAGTCGATTTGCTCTTCCTGGTACTATTCTGCAACGGGATGGTGTTGCTCGCCAAACATGGGTCAAACATCAAGAGATTGCACTTGGAAAGTCAGGAAAACGAAATCACTGGGAAGATAGATGGGCGGTACTGTGTAGAAGAAGCCTGTACCTCTGCGTTGAGTCGCCTGCTTATACTTCTGAAAAGGTAAGAAACGCCAGTGAAGGAAAGCTCATCAAACATTGATTCTTGCAGACAGTTGAACTGAGTAGCCATACTCGCGTGGATATTTGTAATGCTATCGTTGATATCGCCTACGACTGGCTATCGTCATCGTTCTCCAAACAACGCCACGTCGTACGAATCGTGACACAAAACCGAAGCGAGCATCTTATCGAACTAAATACAGAATCTGAAATGCTGTCATGGATTTCGGTATTGCAATCAAGTTCCGAAGACGGATTGTCTGCAGTAGGAGGAGTTGCCGACGAGAATGAAGGAGAAAATTCGAGTGGGAACAATAATAAAGTTTCGTCGAATTCTGCAATGCTCCATAACTCGCAATCGGTATGTTTTGGTTTTAAAAAGTTTGACCAAGAGATTTTTAATGATCTCCAAAAAGTAAAATGTGATTTATCTGTATTATATCAATTATAGTTTCTAGGTGTCCATCTGTCCCCAATTTAAAAAAATTGATGCCAAAACGAGTAGAGAGAAAAGAGCAAAGCCTTTTCCTTCTCCTATTCTTTTTTGCCATCCTATTTTTTCCCTTGACATACAAAGTTTTGGCCAGAGGAGCACATACACACGCGAAGTGAGCCGGAAAGAGACGCGCCCGGCTGACACAAAGAGCAAAGCCTGAAAGCGTCGGACTTGCGGACTCACTGGTTGTGGCTGAACGAGTGTTGGCATTGGAGAAAAAGAGGAAAAGATGGTGTGGGGTGGTATATGAAAACGGATTAAGTTAGTCGTCGTCGTCGTTGTCGTCGAGAGGCATCGACATCTCGGAGAGGAGGCGAGCCCCCACAAAAGCATCTCTTTCCCTCTCATTCCAGTCAGTCTTCTTCTACTACCACAAGTAGCATCTTCGTCAACGTCTTCTTTTTCTTCTTCGTTGGCGATCAGCGGAAAGTTACATAGACGCAGACATTATGTGTGTGTGTTTCTTTTTAATTAATTCTCACTGAAAGAGGCGAAAAAGAAAAGAAAGAGGGAAAAGAAAAGGGATGTGCTCTTCTTTTTCTGTTTCTTTTTCTTCAAACGTCCGATGACAATGTCTTTTTGCGTATTCCTTGTCTTCGTCATCGAGCCCATTCAGACTCCACAGAGTCATCTGAAACCCAGATCGGAACCATAAACCCCTAGTTCTGAAGCGGTTGTGTTCTTGAGAAATAGGATGCGAGGAGAAGAAGAAAAAACACGCGAAAAAATCTCATTTCCTCTCTTTTATTTTTCTCTTCCTGCTCTCATCCTTCTCTACTTTCGTTCACTTTGTTGTCTTTTCCCCTATTGAACCGCATAGTTTTTGACCGTATTAATCCTCCTTGTTGTCTTCTCATCTTTTTCCAAATCCGCTACAGTATTAAAGATGTTTTCGATACGCACCAGCTTGTGGTGGCTCCTCTTGTTCTTCTTCTCATTCTATTCGTTTTCTTCTTGACTTGATTTGCGACAACAGACGGCAAGTATCAATTTACAAGCTGAGCGGACACGAGTCGACAGAGGGAATGAGAGCGATGAATGAATGAAAATTTCTTTCCGCCACACTTATTTTATACCACAAGAGCCTAATTCTCTTAATTTATTCTCCTCTTTCGTTCGAGTTTGGTTCTTTCCTTTTGAGCATTTCTACTGAAATTGGTTTTTTGAAATTTCAAGACTTTCAGAAAAAAATTCTTTGAAATTTGAGAAATCTGGATAATTACTGTAGTTTTCGTATGGAGAACCGACTTCTTCTTAGTTTCGGATAGCCGAGCAATGCGATCTCTTGTGAGCAAAGACTCATCAACATTTATAGTAGTTAACAAGCAACGAGAGCGAAGATTTCTGAAAAGAAAAGAAAATGAGAAGAAGTCAGAATCTCAGGTTACTTTCTCTTTCTCGCTCTTCTTTTTGGTTTGCTTTTTCTTCTTCTTCGGAATAATTGGACTGTTTTCCGTCTTTTTTTCGTCTTCTTTTTTATGGCTATTAGTCAGGGAATGAAGCCCGTAGTCGTCGAAAGGCCTGATGGCCTGCGGTTATTTGTTCCATACTGCTTCTGTTGGCCGTCTTCTTCTTCTTCTGCCGCCGCCGACCATTCTTGTTTCTTCTATCTTCTTCTTCTTTTTGGCAACTGTTTTCTTCTTTTTTCTGGCTCCTTTTTTCGGCTTCGAGCATTGAGAGGAGCAAACGAGGAGAGCTAGTAACAAAATGATGACAGCCCTCTGCGCCGTCTCCTTCTTCTTTCCTGGTCTCGTCGTCGTCACGCACATTCCCGTTTTGCTCATCATCCAACCATCTCAGAAATCGTGGAGTGGGGAAGAAGACGTTGCTGGAGCTGAATCAGATTTAGGGGAATAATTAGAAGATCTACGGACGCCACTCATACTAAATTGAAGAAATATAGTAAAGACGATCATCATCATCATCTTCTTCTTCTTCTTCTTCTCCTTTTTTTTGGTCAGCGCCTTCGTCTTCTTTCCTTTGGTCGTCGTTGTCGTTTATCCGGCTCTAATTCTGTTTACATGTAGGCGGACACAGAAAAGAAAACGAAGAAGAAGGCAATTCGTTTTCTTTTTTCCGCTGTCTCCGAGTCGTCTCCTCCACTTTGCCGTCGCCTCTCGTAGTTTCCGTTTTCTCACTTTTTTCTTTCTAGGTGACGGATCCTTTTTGAAAAATGCTCGTCCAGACTGTAGAATTCCGATGAAGGACATTTTCCGGCTATTTCCCGTTTCTGCGAGAGTTATAAGAGCTCTAACTGCTTCAGACAACCGACTTAAAAATTCCGAGCTCTCTAGGAGCAGCTAGTAGTAGTCGTACTTTGAAAAAAAAACTAATCCATCTAATCTATCCTGATTCATTCATTCCTCCTCCAGTTTCGTCTTCTTCTTCCCCATATCTTGTCTCCATGTTTCGCTCTCATTTTCTCTCCATTAGCAAAAGTGCCGTGCATGTGCAACGGCGTCGACGGCGTGACGACGACCCTACCAATGAGAGAGCACTGAAGCGTGACCAAGGTAACATACTTTTCTCCTTTTCCCCACTCTCTCACCTCTGTCCCTTGTTAAAAGTGTCCTTCCTTGGGAGTTGCATAACTATGAGTTGCCCGGAAAGTCCTTAGGATGTTAGAAGGTGTAATTGAATCGGCTCTTTTGAATTTCACCGTAACGAATTCGGTAAATTCATGAAAATCGGTACCATCTTCCGTCGAGCTCAGTCTCTTCTTTCTCAATTTTTCTGAACACGAGCAAACAACAACCGAGTTTTTTTTCGTGGCCTTTTTCATTGCATACAGGCGTCGCCCAGGAGCGCAGAACTACACAAAGCGAGAGAAAAAGAGAGAAAAAGGATAATAATAGACATTGTGGGTAACGGAAGCACACACATACATACACCTTTTCGTCGTCCCTCTATTTTCCACACTTTTTCGGTTGCTATTCCGCCTTTCCTTCCACAATTTTCACTTCGATACAGCCCTCTTCTCTCTATGTGTCCAACATTCATTCTCATTTTCAAGGACACCTTTTTGTCTATTGTTATTGTTATTATTGGTTGTTGTCGAAATTCAACATAATAATGATTTATTTCATACTCATCATACTCCCTAACGACACATTTATAATTACAGATCGCATCGTTAGCGTCATCGTCATGTTCGACAGCGACGACTTCTGAATTTCTGAATTCGCAACACCCACTTCAACCAGTGAATCAACAACAGAAACAACAACAAACAGTTAATGAATTGAGCACTGGAGTTACTTCACGTAAGAGATCTCAAATCCATCTAAATCTTCTTGATGTATTCTGATTGTTTCAGACTTGCCGACGTCGAAAAGTTTTGGAGGCTTGTCTACGACAGCGTCGTCGACGACGGAAAGCGCCAAGAATCGGCTGATTATGCATCGGTAAGTCAATTCTGAAAAACTTATTGAAACTTACCTCTAAAAATAATCTGACGAACTGAAAATACAGTAATCTCCCCCTCTTCCTCTTTCCGTTACTTTCTGGAATAAAAACTCTAGTTTGCATAATGGCGGTTTTCTATTAGTGTCATGATCCATAATTCAAGTCCCCAAAATTTTAAGTCCCCAAAAAAGTAAAATGCTTCTTCCGCTATCGCTTTTTTCATTCATTTTATTAACCCATCTCTAGATATATATTTCTGAAATTTTGAAAAGTTTCTCAACTTTTCTATTCCTTTATAAACTATAAACAAATCGAAAACTTTTCATGGTTTTATTTATTTTTCAACCACTGATAACATAGTCATTCAGTTTAATTGCCCCTATCAGTTGCCGCCCTGTTTTGTGACAAATTTAAATTGTCGTTTCCTAATCTACCTTTCTAATAGAAAGTTTCTATTAACCTGAGTTTTCTTTCAGCATTTCTATAACAAAAAACGGCATTTTTTCATTCAAATGAATATATATATCCTTATTGTTCCTCCTTTAATCCTTTCATCTCCGAATCATCGACGCTCACTGAGCAATAAAGGCATGAGCAGGTGCTCAAACTTGGGGACACAGAGAGAGTGACATCCACTCGCCTTCTCTCACACCTCTCCCCTCTACTATCCTCCCGCCGTTTCCGTTTTTTTGGCAATGAAGTGTTTAATATACTCTTCTTTTTTCTAGCGAACTTCACATGTTATATTAATGCTCAAGCATGCGTCTAGTTCAAAGTAGTTGTCATGGTTGATAGTTTGATATTATAGATACTTAATATCTGATTTTTTTTCGTTTTAATAGTTCTTATCAAATTTCAGATATATCGCTAAAAACTCTCAACTCCAATCTCCAACTGCCAACAAGAAAATGGACGTGGATCCATCGTCAGTACCTTCTGGATCTTCGACAACAACCACTGCGTTCCATCATTCCTCCCAAGCAGGAACAAGTCGAGAATCTGAAAATGGTGAAGCTCTAACAGCATCTGGAACAACGCCAAAGTCTGGGAGAAAATGGAAGAAATCGAAAGCAGCGAAACAGGGAAGCGGAGGTGGTAGTAGTGGAAGCTCTTCGGGAAGTCAGCAACAAGGAGCAGCGGCACCTCAGCCAGTACTCGGTGTGCGGCTGGCAGATTGCGCAATTGGAAATTGTGAAGATCATGTTCCGATGCTTGTACAAATTTGCGTTTGCGTCGTGGAAACATATGGAATGGACACAGTGGGTATATACCGTATTCCGGGTAACACTGCCGCTGTCAATGCTCTCAAAGAATCATTATCAAATAAAGGATTCGATAGTGTGGATTTATCAAAAGTAGAATCGCTAGATCCTCGTTGGAGAGATGTCAACGTTGTCTCATCACTTCTGAAAATGTTCCTTCGGAAGTTACCGGAACCTCTTCTCACTGACAAGCTTTACCCATTCTTTATCGATGCAAATCGAATTTCAACACATCATAATCGTCTCCACAAATTGAGAAATCTGTTGAGGAAGTTGCCACGACCACACTATGATACTCTCCGTTTTCTGATTATCCATCTTTCTGAAATCACAAAGCACAGTGATGTTAACAAAATGGAATGTCGAAATTTGGCTTTGATGTTTGGACCATCGATCGTCAGGCCGTCGGATGACAATATGGCAACAATGGTGACCCATATGAGTGATCAGTGCAAAATTATTGAAACTTTAATTCATTATGTAAGTTTTATCGGTTTCAAAAGTACTTTTACCATTCTCTTTTTTTTACAGAATATTTGGATGTTTGATGAAACGTCAACAACGGAAGACGCAGTACCTGAACAACATCCAGCTGATGGTCAGAATCCTTTGGAACCTGGAGGCTACGGAGTTGGTGTACCCACTGGAGTTTCTGCTGCTTCATTCAATGACATGCACAATCTGATACGGAAAGCAAATGAAGACCAGGCGGCAGCAATGATGAATGAAGGTGGAAAAGGGCAGAAAATCAAAAACATGCTGCGAAGAAATTCTCGTCGGGATAAGTCGAAATCAAAGCTAAAAATTGAGTCTACTGCGCCAGCGGCTGTGAATCCACGTGGATGGACACAACCGACACCATCCAATACATCGGGAGCCAGCGTCGAGAGTGCATTCTGTGGAAACTATCAAGAAAGAGACATTGATGCTGAAATCGAATGCCGGCAAACTGTATCCCCTCAAATGGCGTCCGGATCAGCTGACGGTGCATCGTCGACGCGTCTTGATCAAAGCCCTTCTCTTGAAAGCTCTCTTGGAAGCCTCCCGGATACATCAAGAACAGAGCCAATATTGGGATCATCTGGATATGGCAATGATGACGAAGAAGGAAAAGAGGCTGCTCGGCGGAAGCGTCAAGAGGAAATGTATTCGGCTCGACGAATCTTTATTGCTGGAGTGGCGGGAGCAGCGGCAGCAACGACGACAAGTGCGGATGCAGAGAAAGCGGCAATTGACGCGTTGGCAAATCACTCTCAACATCTTCATTTGGCCAGCAGTCCGGCATTTGAGGTGCTTAGTGAGGAGACAAGAGAAAAGATTCGAAGAATGCAGAAAAAACAGAGTTGGCATGATACAAAAGAGCTGAGGAGTACTGGCGAATTATTGAAAGTGAGAAATTACGTTATTGAGAGAGCGGTACCCATTTTCTTCAATAATATTCACAACACCGATGCTTTTAAGAGTATACTTTTGGGACTGAAAGTTTGTGCGATGTACGAGTGTCATAACTGTTCCAGTGCAAACCACAGCTAACATATTTTAGTTTTTCTAATATGCTGATAATTATAATCATTTTGTAGACCTATTCACCAACCAAAGACCTGACTGATGCTCTCTCATGCACTTCTGATTACTCAACAACCAGCTCCGCCCCCCTGAGCACCAATCCACCTTTGGCTGTTGCTTGTGCTGACCAGCCGAATTCTAGTTCGGATTATGCTTCAAGGTATCACATCTGATAAAATATTTTTCAAAGATTTGATTCATTTCTAGTGATCCCTCTCCATGCGCCCGGAATCCATCCACTTCTCCTGCTTCTCGTCCATCAAATCTGGCGATTTCTCCATCTCAACTCCATGTCACCACTTCTACCACTTCACAAGCTCAACCACCAATGAGTAGAAGTCAGAAGATTCGGTTACGGACAAAACTTGGCTCCCGTGATCCGGCCAGAAGACATACGCTTAGTGATGTTGACACTTTGAAGGTAAGCTTATTGACTATGAATTAATTGATTTACGGTTTGAAAGCTTTCCAGGAAGGTCGACTCGACAAACTGGCGCGATGGTTCGGTATCCGGAAATCGAGTCCGGATGTGAGCCGAGATGAAGTGTCAGATGACGATAAGAACAATACACAATCCCAACAGCCACCTCCACTTCCATCTGCCGCGCCTCCAGTTATTGTTCGAACATCTCCCAATGAGTTGACCCCAGTTTCCGGGGATGAGCAGCTTTAAATTTCAACGCTTCAATAATTCGTCTTCCCCTATCTTTCTCTCATTATAATCTACGGGTTCCTTTTCTTTCTCCTTTTTTCAAGAAAAATTATTTCAGACCTGCTATATCTGAAATTTATTTGCTTCTTCACACCTCTCCCTACGAACTTGTGATTTTTTCGGTTTCTTTGAAATTTAAAGAATTCTCATTTTTTATTGTTACTAGTAAGATCTCCACACAGAAGACTTCAGATAGTGTTATTTTCCATAATTGTGTAAATTCCTTTTTTCTCTATTCCTCTCTTCCCTTCATTTTCTTCAGAATATCATATTATTCGTACCTCCGGTATGGGTCATTTCTTCTCATTTCTTCATTCATTTCGCATACATATTTTTTCTAACTCCATTATACTTTCTCTCTTTCCTGTACCCTATTTTTACCTTTTTCCTTCTGAATGATACTTTTCACGAAAGAGAGGTTTTTATCGCTTTCGAAGCAACAAAAAAGAACATGAAAAATCATTTATTGGGCACAAGAAAATTTCAGAGAGAAAAAAAAGAACGAAAAATCATCATTGGTTCGCAGTTTTCACCATATAGCATGAAGCTCCAGTTGTCTTTTCGTGAGGCGCAAAGAATGAAGCTTCTGGTTCCATCTTCGAGCCTAACGTCGACGATGTTCTTGATGTATTAGGTTGGCGGGAAAGTCTTTGTCACTCTGTTTGTTTAATCACTGTTCTCGTATATGGAGGCTGTGTATGATATCGACTCTAGTGAATAACAAGGTGATAAGAACCTTCCATATAAACAAGTCCCCATCTCCTTCCCTGCTCCTCATCTGTAATTGAAACGATATGTTTGTTCCCACTGCTATTCACATCAGACATGTTTTGATTTACCTCTTCCTATCTCACACCACGATGAAGGATTCGGAAACTTTCTTGAAGAATGTGTACAACACACATGCCCCTCACTACAATACTATTCGCAATTGGTTCCATCGTTTCGAAAAAGATGACTTCTCGCTCGATGAAAAGGATCGCTCTGGGAGACCCCGTGAGTTGGATTTGGACAAGCTGAAGCACGCATTGCAATCGGATCCATTTCAATCTAGCCGTGAACTAGCTGTCACATTCGGAGTTCACCATAGCACAGTCCTTGAAGGTTTGAAGTCTCTTGGAATGAGAAAACTTTTTGGTCGATTCATACCTCATCACCTGACTCAAGCCAACCTTGACCGCCGAGTCGACGATTCGATTACTCTTCTCACTCTCCACGCGGGCGATCGATGGCTGGACCGGCTAATAACCGGAGATGAGAAGTGGGTCTTCTACGATAATCACCACAGGAAATCCCAGCGGGTTGGAGAAGGAGAGAGCCCACAGGATGTCCCAAAACCCGACCTTCATCCGAAAAAAGTTATGCTCTCTGTGTGGTGGGGAGTGGACGGCCCCATCTACTGGGAACTTCTGCCCGAGGGCAAAACAATAACTGGAGACCTCTACACTACTCAACTACGAAACCTCAAGAAAGCAGTCGACCGTTCGGCCCTGAAAGACAAGAAAGTGTACTAGCAACATGATAACGCTCGCCCACATGTTTCGAAACAAGTGAAGCAGGAGCTGATGGGATATGGATGGAATGTTCTCCCTCACCCCCCGTATTCTCCTGATCTTGCTCCTTCCGACTATTGGTTATTTGGCGATATGACACGTGCCTTCGAAGGAAGAAGCTTCAATTCCCGTGGAGCGGTCGAAGCGGCACTCAAACAATACTTTGCCTCACGCCCGGCTGGATTCTACCGCAATGAATCCATAAATTGAGGGAACGTTGGAGACATGTTGTTGATAATGATGGACAATATAATTAATTATTCGGTTATTTTTTCTTTGAGAAATAAACTATTGAAAAAGTGACAAAGACTTTCCCGCCAACCTAATAGATGCACCAAGAGTTCCTGTTGTCTGCTGAAAACATTTTTTCTTGGTCTTATAATGAACGTAATCGAAGTTACCTTCTGCTTTGGAATTCGTGGTTTCGTCGGAATCTTCGCCAACGGATTCTCTTCGTCATCGTCGAACTCATCGCGCTTCTGTTCGGCTGGTTTGACGTTGAGATTGAATTTAACGTCATCTGAAATGAATTTTTTCGAATTTCTTACCATCAGACTCTGTTTTATTCGCCCCTTTCTTCCCCGTTTTGTCTCCAGCCTTCTTTCCACCGGAGTTGAGTTTTTGAGCTTTTCCTTTAGTCTGAATACAGAATTTCAGACTTATTTTGCGAGCAAAAAACTTACACAAATCGTTAAGCCAACTAAAAATGATGTGCAATATAATAAAACAAAATATTGAAGAGCCTTGAGTAACACATCTGATTTCATTGATTCCAGAAAGGTTTGCATTGTACTTCTTGTTCGATTTGGGCATGAAATTTTGAAATGCCGGTTTTTTTTCATTTTGAGATTTAATCTCAAATTTTACGCTACAAAATAGATTGACGCAACAACTCATGAGAGACTATGGAAAATATATGTTATACTGTATTTCCCTTACACAAACCCACCCAAACCGTAAACTTTGAGACCAATTATCTCAATTCCTGTGAAAGATATCAAAATGTTGTTAACTGATAAAATATCAGTGGTATTAGCATAAACATGTTGTCAGTTAACCATTTTTTGATTTTTTTCACAGGAATCGAGATAATTGAACTCCCAGTTGACAGTTTGGGTAGGTTTCTTGACGGAATACGGTATTTGAAAAAAAAACGTGAAGTAAACATTTTAAACCGTGACATTGTCATTTTCCTTAACCTTCTTTTTATCTCTCCTCTGCCGTTCAGTCTGAAATAGTTATCAGTTTCAACGTTCACGTTGCAGGATGTTGCAGGATCAGCCTGGCCTTCTCCTGTCTTTATCGCCTGGCATCTCCCATCTGCTTGGAATCGTGCTCGTCGACCTTTTGTTCCGCAACGACAACCACGACTGTGTGAGAGCGACACCTGGATCCGATACCACGACCACCGATACGTCTTGGATGCTAAGTTTTTCTTTTAGGATGCTAAGCTTTTCTTTTAAGGGCTGGAATTATTTTTAAGGCCTAATCTGATCTTCAGAAATTTTAAACAAGTCTTTAGCCAAAAAAGTTAAAAAATAAATCGAAAAAATGAGTATAAGTTTTGTAAAATGTTGAATCGAAAAAAAAAGTGTAGAAACAAAGATTTCGCTAACAAATTTGTTTAATGTGAAAATGTTATTCTAGAAAATTTCAGATCGTTTCAGATCGTTCCAGCGGACAAGCGGAGCAACACAATTTATTGAACTCGGCGTTATTTTTTGATCATCATAATTTTTCCAACTAATAAAGAATTATTGGGGGGGGAGGGGGTGCATCAGGGATGAACTGTTCGTTGTCTGTTGTCTAGCGATTTTTGGCTTTCCGTTGTCCGTTGCCCGACGAAAAAATTTTTGTTCGCCCGTTTACCAGAATAATTAAAATCGAAACTTTCCGCCTGAGAATGCAGCAAAAAATGATGGATGAGCTCAGTTTCCTCGTTTATCACGGTCGCTAATTCGCATCTGTGTCATTTTTATTGGAAAACTTTGTACGTTGTCCGCCGAAAAAACTTGTCGTGGGCTGAACTATAAATTTTGCTGCCCGTGCGGTGGATGATACAACAACGTAAATTTAAAACACTTTAGTATATCAGATATAGAGAATTTTCAGATATACTATTAGGTTGGCGGGAAAGTCTTTGTCACTTTTTCAATAGTTTATTTCTCAAAGAAAAAATAACCGAATAATTAATTATATTGTCCATCATTATCAACAACATGTCTCCAACGTTCCCTCAATTTATGGATTCCATTGCGGTAGAATCCAGCCGGGCGTGAGGCAAAGTATTGTTTGAGTGCCGCTTCGACCGCTCCACGGGAATTGAAGCTTCTTCCTTCGAAGGCACGTGTCATATCGCCAAATAACCAATAGTCGGAAGGAGCAAGATCAGGAGAATACGGGGGGTGAGGGAGAACATTCCATCCATATCCCATCAGCTCCTGCTTCACTTGTTTCGAAACATGTGGGCGAGCGTTATCATGTTGCTAGTACACTTTCTTGTCTTTCAGGGCCGAACGGTCGACTGCTTTCTTGAGGTTTCGTAGTTGAGTAGTGTAGAGGTCTCCAGTTATTGTTTTGCCCTCGGGCAGAAGTTCCCAGTAGATGGGGCCGTCCACTCCCCACCACACAGAGAGCATAACTTTTTTCGGATGAAGGTCGGGTTTTGGGACATCCTGTGGGCTCTCTCCTTCTCCAACCCGCTGGGATTTCCTGTGGTGATTATCGTAGAAGACCCACTTCTCATCTCCGGTTATTAGCCGGTCCAGCCATCGATCGCCCGCGTGGAGAGTGAGAAGAGTAATCGAATCGTCGACTCGGCGGTCAAGGTTGGCTTGAGTCAGGTGATGAGGTATGAATCGACCAAAAAGTTTTCTCATTCCAAGAGACTTCAAACCTTCAAGGACTGTGCTATGGTGAACTCCGAATGTGACAGCTAGTTCACGGCTAGATTGAAATGGATCCGATTGCAATGCGTGCTTCAGCTTGTCCAAATCCAACTCACGGGGTCTCCCAGAGCGATCCTTTTCATCGAGCGAGAAGTCATCTTTTTCGAAACGATGGAACCAATTGCGAATAGTATTGTAGTGAGGGGCATGTGTGTTGTACACATTCTTCAAGAAAGTTTCCGAATCCTTCATCGTGGTGTGAGATAGGAAGAGGTAAATCAAAACATGTCTGATGTGAATAGCAGTGGGAACAAACATATCGTTTCAATTACAGATGAGGAGCAGGGAAGGAGATGGGGACTTGTTTATATGGAAGGTTCTTATCACCTTGTTATTCACTAGAGTCGATATCATACACAGCCTCCATATACGAGAACAGTGATTAAACAAACAGAGTGACAAAGACTTTCCCGCCAACCTAATATATCTGAAATTTTTCAAAAGTATTAAGCAATTTGTTCCTTTTTCGTCGAAGACCATTTTGTGTTACGATTCCTTGAAATATTTTTGCATCTGGATTTTGAATTTGGTTATGATTAACTATCGTAAACTGCAATTCAAAGATTTGTTTATTTGAAACTTGAGCTAGACAATATCTGAGTTTAAAAAACCGGCAAGTGTACAAAACTGAAAAGAGAGAAGGAAGGAAGTAGAACTGTACAAAATTAGAGAGAAATTATTTTTTGCGTCCATACTGGTAGACTGATGGCGAGTACTGAAGATTGTTTCCTGGTTGTTGCTGCTGTTGATTGCTATTGTATCCTTGTTGAGTTTGGTAGCAACATGTCGAGCTGACTTGGGAGCAACATGAGATGGCGTCAGCAGAGTACTGTGGAGATGGAATGCTGCTACTGTACTGCGGAGTGCTTGGATTGTACATATGTTGATTGTTGTATCCCATATTGTTGTCGTATTGCTGATTGTTGTACTGTTGGTTACTGTACATCTGCTGGTTATTGTTCTGTTGTTGTTGCTGCTGGTATGGTTGCTGTTGAGTGCTGCTGGCATACATCAAAGTAGTCGTCATGGTGTTTTGTGGATTGTTGTACATCTGATTTTGATTTTGGTTTTGATATTGTGATCCTTGGTTGTTGTATCCTGTGTTGTACATTTGTTGATTGTTAGCTTGATTCATTCCGTATCCTTGATTGGAGGATTGATCTCTCAGCAATTGATTTTGATTCGAGTTCTGTGGGAATCCAGCATTCACCCCAAGAACTGAATTGTATTGAGCAGTAGATGGAACTCTCTGATAGTAGTATGGAGAGTTTTGATTTGTGGTATCATAGGCTACAAAGTTTTGATTGGTTCCTTGTTGTTGGGTGCTTCCATAGGTGGATGATGGATTGGAGTATCCAGTGGAAGAGGTTCTCGAGGAAGATGATGGATTATAGTATTGAGTGGAGTATCCATAGGAAGTTGTCGGTGCATACGTCGTTGTTGTGGAGCCTGCGAATTGTTATTATCAAAGCAGTCTTTTGTAATAATAAACTTTGTTGAGTGTATGAAAATTTCTTATCTTAAAACCTGTAACAGACGGGCCCCCACGCTGTCAAGTTTGATCTCAATCATCTCAGCTCCTATCAGAGATATCAAAAATGTGTCAAAACACTTTTGATATTATGATAAACAATTTTTCTGTTAATAACTATCTTACATCTTTATCAGGAACCGAGAAAAATTGGCTCAAAGTAAAAATTTAGAGACCCTTCTTTTGCAGGAATCATTTGAATTAGTCCAAATACCATGAATTTTCTAGAAGCCAACTCAAACTGTCAACTTTGAGCTCACATATCTCGATTTCTGAAAAAGATATAAAAAAGACGTCATCTGATAAATTGTTTATCATAATATCTCTAATATTTTGTCAGTTGAAAAAATTGTGTTATCTTTCTCAGGAACCGAGATAAATTGGTTTAAAGTTAAACGTTAAGAACCCTTCTATTACAAGTTTTACGTTGAAAACTGATGATCTTATTCGATTGTATGTATAGGGGAAACGACTGATCAAAAATCATTGACTGGACCTAAATTTCTAAGAATTCATCTTCTAATTTTTTTAAAAACCTGTAACAAATTTTCAGATTTATTTTTAGGGACGAATTGAAGCAAAGCGGTTTTTTCATGCATCGGCATTCTTCTTATCATTTTCATTCATTCGTTTATTAATAAAATGAAGCAGGAAAAATAGAACATTCGAGAACATCATCAATCAAGGGGGTTTTATACAGTAATGCTTCAAAAAGTCAAATTATCCGATGGAGTTCTTTTGGTGAAATTTTCGCGGGCAAGTGGGGGATACAAACAGCAGTGACTTTTCAGAAGAGAGATTAACATTTCTTAAAATTTGACTGGTCCAAGACCGAAATGACGTCTGAAGCGACATGTGGTGCAACCGTTATTCATATATTGGGGGGAGGAAGAAGATGGTTGATAGAGAGTTGGGTAATTGGTGGTGCCAGTTGCATAGAGAGCAGGACCATTGGATGAGTAAGAAGTGGTACTACCGTATTGCTGTTGCTGTTGGGGATTGTATTGCTGGTTGGTACCGTATTGTTGCTGTTGGGGATTGTATTGTTGGTTGGTACCGTATTGCTGTTGTTGTTGATTATACTGACCAGTTGGGGAAGCAGTCGATCCTCCGTTCATTCCTTGTTGAGCTGGCGTCTCTGGTGGTGGCGATGGAGCTCCTCCAATCGAGTCGAAGAATGCTCTATTCAGAGCTTGAGTGTCGGCAATTCGTTGTGGATCGGTGTATCGGTCTCCTTGGTAATCGGGAAGGTATCCTGGCTGATTGCTTGATGAGCTACCAGTTGAATCGCGTTGTACAGAGTTCGTATTGTAAGATGATTGTCCGGATGAAGTACCTGAGAACAACATTCAAAAACGGGAAATCACGAGGGACTTTTTAGGTTAATTAATTATATTAATTGTAAATGGACATTAGAATAGTCAAATTCATTGCGTGAATGATGAGATGAATGGCAAGTGAGCGATTGTTATAAGTTAAAAAGTAGGTAATTAAAAGTATTAATTATCAATTATCCTACATTATGACATATTTACAGATAAATTTAGGGGCATTTAGTGAATTATTAATAAGTCAGTGCCTCATTTTATCCAGCTTCTCCATATTCTCCAGGTTCACATCTTCAGTGTCCGGATCCAAGAATTCTAATCGGAAATCCTTTTGAATATATCTTGGATCATCTCTTGTCAGTGCCTCAATTATCGCCCTCGTGGCTTCAGATTCAAAAAAACTCGGCTCATTTCCTGGTGTTGATTGGTAAATTCCATCTTCATTTGGTTCCAGAGAAAATTGCACGAATTCAAGAGTCGGTGTACTTTTAGTTGTAGCGTTAGAATCATCGCCATGTACTTCTACGAATATTGTGGGTTCTCGATGTTTCGGATCTTCTGGATCAGCGAATACCACAGGGATCGGTCGATTTTTGAAAGTGTGGTGATACTGTGGTTCTTGTTGATCCATCGTGGGAACGTGAATGGGTTGTGAATCCATTTGGGGAGTTAGAATGGGGTCGGATTGTTGTGGTTGGGTGAGTGAATCGAAGAATGCCTGATTCAGACGAAGGGTCTCCTGACGTCGTGCATCTGAAGAGAATGCATCTGGTTGGTAAGTGTTAGGAAGGAAGCCAGGTACTTGGTGAGTGTTGTACTGTTGTTGACGTTTATGCCGGTGGTGAGAGTTATCTGAGTTCATTGTTGGTAAGTAATTTTGAAGAGAGTGAGAAATGTTATGAGTTTTAAGAATTTGAATTGAAAGGAAAAGTATACTCACCATAGTTCGGGTTGGTATTGCAGGTAGTGCATGAAGAGGTCAATTGAGCAATTGACACTGCTACCAGTGAGGTGAGCACTCTGCGAAAATTAGATTTATGAAAAATAGCATTTTGAGAAATCAGGTAAAATGTAGTTTACGGGGTGGCGCACTGATAGAAACGGGTATATCTTTAGATATAAGTGACTTAGAATCACGAAAATTGGTAGAAATATAGTTTTAGGTCTCTTCAAAGCTACTGAAATTTTCAAAACGATTACTCAGTTCTAGGCATTGGTAGGATTGTCCAAAGATGAACGGCGTAATATTTCTTGCACAATTTTCATGAGATGAAGCAACTTTGACAAGAAATAACTCAACTCAAAGTTGATCAATAAGTTAGAAATTAGGCCAGTTTTCTGATTAATTATTTGAATTTCGCCACTCTAAACTCAGGCTCAATACAACGCTTGACTCAAATTTTATGCTAATACAAATTTGAGTTCGTGTAGTTACGTGCCGTACTGGATACAGGACGAAAGAAAACCTTCTCCAAGACAAGAAAAATTCTAAACAAAATCAACTATTTTTATCTGTTTGGAAAATTGTGAAAATTCTATGATTATGTCAAACTTTCTTCGGAAAAATTTTCATGAACAAGTTAGGCATATTTTTCAACTAGGCACATTTTTTAAAACATGAAACACTGTACTAAAAGAATTTTTTAAGACGATAAAAACTTACAAAACTCGGAGCATTTTCGTGTAGGTATGTAGAAGTATGTGCAGAGATCTCACAACTTAGATTTTCTTTGCCAAGTCCTCTCGATTTTATACCCAACAGTGTCCCCCCTAGGGAAAGGGGTGGGGCGTGCCGACGATCCCTAGACACACATTGCCCCATTCCACACAAAATAATAGGTAAACAGACAGACTTCTCTTTCATCTTCTAATTCTCTTACTCTCTTGTTCTCCTCTAACTTTTTTGTGCTCTGATCCCCCCTAACTCCCGCCCTCGTTTTTTAACTTTCAATCGAAAATGAAAAGGCCACCTCCAATTTTTTCACACATGTTCACATTAGATGTAAAATATCCAGTTGGGATCACTATCCATCATCACCGGAAATTCGATCCACTTCCTCGACTCCGACACAATTTTCGACGCCAAAGGACCGGAGGAATACTCTTGAGAGGGTGTCGCAAAAAAGTTTGATTGAATTGAATCGGAAGAAATGTGAAGAATCGGGAAGAAAGAGGGATAAAGAGAATATGTAAAAAAGAACATGATGTTAAGCTATGGATGAAGAAAATGTGAGAAAAGAGGTTCGATTGGGGGAACAGGGTCACCAAATGTCTCCAATTTCTCTACTGATCTTTTGTGCGAATCGCAATGTTCTGAACAGAAGAATCTATCCAGTTCAGGAGAGTTCTTGATCAACTACACTCATTTTCCTGATGGTTGAAGATACCATAAGCGTTGCAGAATTTTTTTGAATTCTAATTTATCGGAAAAATTGTATCGGAAATTTTTTATGGTTCTGTTCATATTTTCTCTAATAAAAGCCCACACTATAGCTCGATTATTTCGATTCCTATAAGAGATATCAAAAATTAGTCAACTGATAAAATGTTTGTGATAATATGATCAATAATTTATCAGTTTACAATTTTTTCATATCTCTGACAAGAACTGAGAAAAATTGCCTCAAAGTTAAAAGCCTGGGGTTCTTCTATCATTTACGCTATTTTTAATTATTGAACATAGTTGGTTCACTGGTTTTTTGAATTACAAAACCTATAAATATTTCCAATCTATATTTCTTTTTCTCGTTTTCTGTTCGTTGCATCTTCCATAAAATCGTTTTTCTCAAAAGTTCCCATCTTGAAAAGAGAGTTTCAAGTACTCTCAGTTACCACAAACGTAGTGATAGGACACTTGTGTGTGGTCGAGTCATCAAGATATTTATAAATCTTCTTCGGTGTTTACAATTTGTTTGCCTTGAACTTTTCCAGAATTGTATTCAAAAAAAAAACTTTCAACATTTCTAAAAAATCTTGAAAGCTCTGGAATACCATTCAAAGTTTCACGAGCTCCACCCGAAATGTTTATCTCCAAGTGAACGAAAAATGTTTCCCTGACCCAGAAAATATTACTTTCTGACAAAGAATTCCGAGCAAAAATCAGTTATTCCCAAGGAAAAAATTCACAGAATTTTTTTCCGAATACTATAAAACCTGCAATTGAAGGGCCCCCACACTGCCAAGTTTGAGTTCAATTATCTCGGTCTGTATAAGAGATATCAAAACTAAATCAACTGATAAAATGTTAATTATAATATCACAAATATTTTGTTAGTTGACCACTTTTTGATATCTTTCACAGCAACCGAGATAAATAGGCTCAAAATAGACGGTTTGTGTGCGTCCAATTAGAGTGTTTATGGTAATTTTCAGATTAAGGATACTGAATGAAAATCTGCTTTCTCCGGAATAAAGTTTCCTCTCAAAATTTTCACTTTTTCATTTCAGTTTGCAAGACTCTGGACTTAAATTTGACCTAAATATCATAGGCTAAAATACATACCAATTCTATAAAAAAATTCAGAAATTTCAGAGATGTTTAAATGTTCGAAATCGAGAACTCAAACTAAAATGATCACAAAAACTTTGCTCTTCAACCCATCAAACATCTTGTCCACAAATCATTGAAACAGTACACTCCCTTCTTCTTTTTCGACTTCTTATTTTCATTGAATTGATCCAAGAGAGTTCCTATGAGCAGTAGCTCCGTAAACATTGCCATCATCCTATTGCTTCCGAATTTCCAATGACCAACAACAATAACCTGGCAGTTGTCAACTCCTTGTGTATTTCCCCCGACCAGTTCATCACTCGAAATCATCGAATTAAACTTCTCCTCTTCTTCATCTTTTTTATTTGCCCATCTCTTTATTTTTTCATTCAGTTTTTCCGGTCCGTTCTCATAATCCGCTCTTCTTTTCACACCTTTTTTTCTAAAACGTGTGGATTCAATTCACGTCATCTTGTCAGGGATTCTTATTGAGAACAAGCAAAAACATCGTACCAGTTTGTGATCTAGATATTTTGAGTGTTTTATGTCAGGGCAAAATAATTGTGAACAATCGAATTGTCAAGTATTTTTAGGATATTTAGGGGTGTAGATGGGGTGGGTAAGGTAAAGTAAACGAACACTTTTTTGGTTGATATTTTTATTTATTTTCAACAGAATTGTGTCCCTTCTTTCTCTCGCTTTTTTTGCTCACATTCCTTTCCGTATCTCCCATTAGTGACGACGAGCAACACAAAAAAGTAAATATAGAGGATAGGTAGAGATGGTAACTGAGAGGTACATTTTAGAGTAAGAGCAGATAAACAAGAAAACGAAATTGTTGTGTACAGTCATCCTATCTTCATTTTTCGATATTTTGAAAGTTTGAGGAAAGTCATTTAGAAGAAGAAAAACTATTTCTTTGAAAAGACAACCACCGGAAAACTCCAGAATCGGAAAACGACATTTCTCGTCTTTTTTTTTGAGAAAGTGATGGTTTCTTTTTTTTCGGATGAAAACATCGAATCTTGAAAACTAGAAATTGTTTAAAAAAACTATTACCAGAAAGTTAAATCTTCATTCAAATTTTAGTAAACACTCTAATTAAATGCTTCAACTTTGAGTTCACATATCTCATTTTCTGTAACAGATATCAAAAATAGGTCAACTGATAGAATACTTTTGATAACTTGATAAACACTTTGTCTGTTGAATACTTTTTGATATCTTGTACAAGAAATGAGATAATTGAGCTAAAAGTTGACGGCATGGAGAATTATATTAGACTGTTTCCGGGACATCAGATCACCTGTTGGATTACATTTGGGCAATTTTTAAAATTCTACTGCATGCTAAGATTTCAAAATACAAAGTGCGCCAAATTTAGATTCATCAACTGCGCAGATCAAGTATTCTGAGACTAGGAATTATCATACCAACAAAATTTCCAAACTAAACTTCACCAGGTTTTAACCTTCGAACTTTTCCACTCTCTCAAGTTTTTTGATCGTTTTTTGCCGTATCTCCAACGGAAACTGTTTCACGATTTGACAGGAACACCAACATAGAAACGGCGGAAATTGTGCAGAAAAAGAGGTTAGAAAAAAAGTAAATATGAATCGAAAATGAAAAAAAAAACTGAGTAGAGAGAATGCGAATTTGATTGCACTTTGAGGTTTTTTAGGTTTGATGTTCGATGAATGACAAAAAAAGACTGGCAATAGAAAATTTGTATTTATACTTTGAAGGATTCTTATTTTCTGGATTCTTTCAAGTTTTCCTACCGAAACCCTGCGATAGATGGGCCCCCACACTGTCAAGTTTAAGCTATTATCTCATTTTCTATGCATGATATCAGAAATATGTCAACTGACAAAAAATTGCTGATTATGATAAGCAATTTATTCGTTGACAACTATTTTATATCTTTCAAAGGAACCAAGAAAAATGGACACAAAGTAAAAAGTTAAAGACCCTTCTTTTACAGATTTTAGGATAACGTTTCAATGTTTATACAGACAATTGACTGCACAAAAACTATTCATAAAAAATTTTCAGTACAAAAAACTTTGATTTTCCAATTGAGAAACTCCTACAGCTGATTTTATTTGATTTTGGCAAAGCAAATTGTATAGAAAAATTCACTCGCTCTATGACAACTCCTGGGTATAAAAAATTGATATCATTTATCGGCTAAAAAAACTTATTGAAAGATTTCAGAAACCAAAGAGTTTTTCTGTTGAAAAAATAAACCTAATCCGGCAAAAATAGCAACAATAATGATTTCAAATCAGATTATATATAAAACTGATTTTATAGAATAACTGAATTCATTATCAGATTATCTACCACATCGGATCAAATTTCTGTATCTTAGTTTTCTGAATACTCGAGACACTTCTGCAAAACCTAATTTTGCAGAAAAAAGAGCAAAAGTTCTGAATACCAGAGGTGCCATTCCTTTCTTCTCTCCGTTATCTTTTTGTTTATTTATCACGTGGCTATCACCCAGTGATCTCTATTTGACCTACTTTCGCCTGCGCTGCTCCGAGTCTTCCCTCTCTTCGCTATCTTGTCCACACTAGTAAACTGTCGATCAAAAGTGTTCAAAAACCACTCAAAAGAATGTGTTTAGATATTTGTATTTGTGTGTGCTGATTCGACAATGTGCCATTCCGAGTCACTGATTGCCCAATGGGATTGTTCACACCCACCTTCCGAAATGATCACTGAGCACTTTGATGTACTTTTTTAAGAGGAGTGAACAATGAAAACTCATGAGAATGACAACGAATACCTGGAAAAAAATTCTGATCGTTGTTCGGAAGTTTTGAGTCAATAAATGTTGAAAAGTGGTTTTTATTCAGGTGGCATTCGCTGAATGAAAAAAGGTAGACTGTTCGAAAAAAAGAGTGACACCAACAGAAAACATGATGGGGAAACGAAGAGTGTGGAAAAAGATAAAAAGCTTTCGGTCGGCCGTTTTTATAAAATTGATTAACAACAACATTTTCAGAGGAAATTGGAAAAGTACAGAAATATGCACACTCCTTAAAACTTGTAATAGGAGCCCCCGGCCAAGTTTAAGCTCAATTACCTCAGATCCTGTGGAAGTGGAAGATATGAAAAATGTGCCAACTTATAAAATGTTTTTGATATTATGACCAACATTTTATCGGTTGAAAACTTTTTGATATCATTCACAGGAAATGAGAAAAATTGAGTTAAAGTCAAAAGTTAGATTGCCCTTCTGTTACAGGTTTTTCGATGCCAGAAAATCGTTAATCAAATCGAACCGATGAAGCACCGAAAAACTGAAGAAAAAGTCTTAATTTTATCGTTCCTAGTAATAACATCTGTAAAATATCCTGAATCTAGAATTTTAAAGCTTGACAATTTCTTGAATTTGTAATTAGAAATCTTAAAATCCATAATTGTATGGGCAAATAAATAGTTTTTTTTTAGGATCACGAATTTTCGGATACGGAAATACTCACTTCCAAAACTCTCGATTGCGAAATATCTCTTTTCCTTGCTTTTTTTTCTTTTTCCAGATAGTTCATAAATTTTTCAGCACTGTAAAAAGCGAAATGCCTTTTTAGTGGCCAAAAATTCGGGGGGTAAAATGATTCGGGGGTACAAGGGAGATTTCGAAGTTCTGAAATTCGGAATTTCTCAGATTCTCAGATTCTGAAGTTCCGAAATTTTCAGATTCTCAGACTCTGAAGTTCCGAAATTCTCAGATTCCGAATTCTGAGATTTTCAAGCTCTGAAATTCAGGAATTCAGAAACTTCGTCAAAAAAAATTGTACCCCCGAATCACAAACGTTGTACCCCTAAATGAAATAAGTTTTACCCCAGAATCATTGGTAGATTGTACCTAGGTACGTGTCCAAGCTCAATAAAAGTCTACAATGTAAATATTGTGCATCGACGACTTCTCGAGCGAAGGACTATCCGCGTGGCACTGATGGGGACATGGGTCCATCAGGATGGCGAGCAACAATTAGGACACCACCACCGGCGATGGAGAAAGCTGAACATGGTTGGCTCAATAGAGGTTCCAAGATGTATCAAGGACTGATGAGAGGCGCAGAAGTCAACGTTGGGATGCGACAGGCAACAACGGACTGGACACAAGAAGTGACAGTGCTGGAACAATTTCTGGCTGACGAGGCAGCGACAGGATCAGTTACGTGTTCGATGGTAGATGTGGATTACCGCGGGACCTTTTCCCATAACAAAGGATCGGACAAGCACAGGAGTCAAAAAGGATCAAATGTGTTCTACAACGGGAGGACGGCCACACTAATAGTAAGCAAACTGGATACCCAGAACTCTTCATAGGAAAACTTGGAAATTATCATTCCGGAGCAACGAATGGACTCATTTTCAAGTTGGCCGCCCGGAGCCTCTCTCTCACGAGAGATTTCAAAAAGGACTCTTCACAAATGCCAATTGGAAGGAAAGAGTTATTCGAAGGACCTTCGAAATGTCAAAATCAGGACTGCTCGAAGAAGAACTACCGACTGGTATGGAACCGTCACGCAGATCAACATGAGGTCTACCAGCAACACCGGAAAAGGACTCATCAACATCGTGGATCCACGATGTTGATCAGCTTTCTCCATCGCCGGTGGTGGTGTCCTAATTGTTGCTCGCCATCCTGATGGAGCCAGTGTCCCCATCAGTGCCACGCGGATAGTCCTTCGCTCGAGAAGTCGTCGATGCACAATATTTACATTGTAGACTTTTATTGAGCTTGGACACGTACCTAGTTCATACAATTGAGAGGGCTTTTATAACAAGCAACAAGCCAAAAGGACGGAGTTTAACATTACAAAATCAAAAATGATAGAATGATAGAAAGATGATAGAAAGAATTCTTTTAATATAGACAGAAGGAATGCTGTAAAACACTCAATTGAATTAAAAACGGGTGAGTCACCACATACAAATGCGATCCTTAGATCCAGCACAATTTAACCATTTCGATCCAATTTTTCTTGATTCCTGCCAAAGATAAAAAAGTTGTCAACTGATGATTTGTTTATAATAAAATCAGAAGTGTTCGTCGATTGACACATAATTATTGTTATTATTTCAGACTAATTTACCGGATTCTTCTTGTAAATGCCAAGCTTTTTTTTTCGGAGTAGGCTTTTCCCCCTTATTGCATTGAAATGTTCTAAAAGTTGTCTATTTTCCCAATATTATAGCGAAAAAATTCGAATTAAACCCGAAATCCCCGAAAAATGCCATTAAAAGCGAAAAATTTTCAAAAAAAAGTTGCTAGGAGGGACGAGGATTTGAATTCCGGCGCAGTGAGAAACCTAGGCCACGGACACCGAAAAAAACCGG